CCCCCCCCCCCCCCCTTTCACCCCACTCTCATAGTGTACCACATGGGACCACATTACAGTGTAACATACCCTGCTTCTGACATTTGTCTTCCATCTAAGAAACACTCATGGTGAATAAATTCTAACAATAATGTCCACCTTAACAATAACTCGATCGTTAATACCCGGTGTAAGTTAAAGGAAGACCCATGAACTGATTCAACTTCCGCAAGGATTATACTCTGACCCTTAACTTGGCATTTCCTTTCTTTATCCATCGAAAATTACAAGACTCATTAAGAAAAAAGTTCATCCATTCAAGAACTAAGTCCTGGCAACAAACTAACTCCACGGAGCAACCCGAGGGTACATAAATGACTGTGAATATATGAAAATCATTTATGTGAACTGTGGATAACGACGTGAATATGAAAGCGATCTGCCCAGTAATAAACACTACTTAAGCAGTGGGGAAATTAAGGCCTGGAAAAAAAATCAGGCCTGTACGGAATTCGAACCCATGACCTCTGCGATACCAGTGCAGTGCCTACCAACTAAGCCAACTGAAAATCATATATGTGACATCTATGTTTATTACGAACCAAAATGATGACCAGCTCCCAGTTTAGGTAGTGTTCATTGCTACGAAGATCGCTTACATATTCATTTCTTAACCCGCAGTTCACGTATATGATTTTCATATATTCACAATCATTTATTCACCACTTCAGGGTTTATCACGAACCAACATAGTGACCAGCTCCCAGTTGGCCTGTTAGCTCAGGTGGTAGGGCACTACACCGGTATAGCATAGGTCATGGGTTCGAATCCTGTACAGGGCTGAACTTTTTTCAGGCCTTATTTTCACTACTGCTCAAGTAGTATTCATTACTGCGAAGGTCGCTTTCATATTCAATCGAGGGTACGTTCTTGGTTAGTCTGAAGTTTTAGCGATCCACTCGCACCAAGTTGCCCATAAAGACTGGGGGCGTGGAGGGGGTTGGCTGGCTAGGCCAACTTAAGGGATCAAACATAACAATCCAGGTAGATGAAGAACACTGAACACTGTAATAACCACAACTAATTTGCAGATGTAGTATACATCAGCAACTCCCATCTCTTGCTGTAAACTTGTTTACTAACCTGTAAGTACGAAGCTAAGCCAAACGACAGAAAAACATACAAATTCATATAAATATATGAGACAATTCTATTACATTTGTACAAGCAGGAAACACTGAACTAAGTAAACAACTCCTTAAAAAAAAGAAAACGAAAACAAGGGATAACACTCCATAAGCACTCGTGATTCAGAAGCATTAACTTTGTATCAAACAGACGTATTTATCACAGCGTAGTCTCCTTCTTTACGGGGCCGAGTGGGGTCTCTGGATGGCGGCCTGTTGGGTACGCGATGCGTTCCTTGCACCAGGCCCTCCTCGGTGTCACCATAGCGGATTTCATACTCGTACACAGTCATGATGGGTAGCACTAGTCAAGGAAAGACCCTAATAGTAAATATCATCAAATTAAGATTACTAAAGCAGTCGATTTCGACAATACCTAGCTTTGAAAGGAAGGTGAACTTAACTAGGAGTGGCAAGATGTCACACCAAGCCTTGTTCACTTAAGCATTCATCTCAACTGACCTTATTTCTTAATAAACACGGGTTTGATTAAAAAGGATATTTGCTGTAACAGGAAGATAAAGTATGTCGGTCTCTGTAACTATTTCCACATGATGTCCCACGTGACCTAAACCACTATCTCCGACCACGCCTACTGCCACAGCAAAAATCTCCACATCCAGAACAGAGTTCATACCCGCCGCCACCTTCAAAAATAAGCGGAACATGATAACATATGTTGGGTTTCTGACAGTAGATTAATAACACGATAGAAGAAACAAGGCTTACAGGTCCAGGTTGATAAAGAATACGCAAGCCAGTCGATGGTGGTGGCTGCTTTATCTTGTACCGACAGCTATCAATGCCGACATTTTTCAGTAGTACACTATGAACATAAGTGCAGCCTTCCTTTAGCACCCCAAAAGACACCTGTGGCGGCAGCAACTCAAAGCCTCGAAGATTCTCGACTTTCTGCTGATCACCACCCGTCACAGACACTGTGTGTACACGACGGCGCACGGGGTCCTCAATTTCGTAGAACTAAAATTTGTTTAAACAAATAACAGATGATGATCAGAACTTAACATCACAATGAATAGAGACTGAGTTAACTTCAAGTAGTGTACAGTAAATTATGATCGTGAAGAAACGAGAAATAAAACCTTTCTCACTCTCCCCGTAAGGTGCTAGGAAGTTACAACAAACCGCAAATTCCAACAACGCACCGCTCTCACTTCACTAATGTTTGGTTTAAGTAACCCCATGGTTTACGGAAAAGAGAACATTTTGGCTACGAGTTGATTAATTCAAATTTGTACAACAGGTGTCAATTGCAGTAACACACCTGGCTGTTGGGAAGAGCTCCAGGTTTAGAACCCTTTATACAGCTGGGAAGTTTAACTTTAGCTTTCCTGGTTTCTCCGGTAACATCAAAGTACAAACTTCTGGGACTGATGTGCGGCATTTCAACTGTTAAGAGAAAATTGAACCATTCAAATAACGTTCATAATCTGATTTTAAAAAGTAATTTAGGTGAAAACAAAGCAAACTAAGTAAGTTACTGGATTCATAACAAGACATGACATGACACATACATAATTAACAGAATTCACATCACGCAGGTAACAGAACACAACAGTTCACCGTATGGAGTAGCACAGATCAGCACTGCATAGCATTGCATAGCATAACATGATGAACCGTTGCAATAGCACCTCACCTGAAAACACTGGACCGTTTTCATAGCCATCTGCGTCCTCTGGTTCGATGGGTCCTTCCAATCTCTCCTCCTGCGACGACGGAACATCCACCTCCTGAGCAGACTCTAAATTGTTTCTCCACTGTGGGGAGTCCCCCTGGAGGGGGGAATCTTGGGAAAGAGGCTCAGAAGCCTGGCGAGGTGTTGGATTACTAGGACGAGGATTAGCGGTCGTGAAGGCCTGTGAAGGAGTAGGATTAGTTGGACGGACAGGGGTGGGGGTGCCGTTACCAGTAGCGTGCGCAGGAGTGGGGTTAGTGGGTCTTATGCCGTTTGGCGTGGCACTTGGTTCTCCCGCTGGATGCGAGGAAAGCTCTCCACTTGTTGCAGGGAGAACAACATCAGGGCTAGGAGCAATTTTGCTTCCTTCACCTGTTGTAAGAATCAGGGATAATAATGGGTCAACAGTTTCACGTCACTAATGCCCTTCAACCAAAAGAACAAAATAGAAAACAGTTTACATAAAATTACATGTGCAACAATTCCAAGTACATTTGAAAAGTACAGACTTGTACAAAAATCCGAAGTAAACAAAGGAAAGCAAATAAACTACAACGGTGTAGAGATAATCGAATACATCATACCTGTGCAGTCAGACGTAGCGCTTTCCTCGTGTACAACAATTTCTGGTGTTTCAGCGGGGCTACTTTCTCCAGGGGGTGGATGACGTGTTTGATTTGCTAATTCTGAAGTTAACGCTTCCATATCCGGGACCTTTGGGCTGTGAATACCTTTCAGAAACTCTTGCCCTGACATAAAGACACTTCTATTAACGCTACAATTGAAATCTTTTCACAAGCTGATATTGACCCTTTTTTCTCTGCATTTATTAACTTGTTGATAGCTTCATACCTGATCTCGTTTCGAAATAGGGAGGAACTTCTTTGTATCTTAAAGCATGTTTCCCATAATCCAGCTCGGCCAGTTCTATTTGATCCCGCTCCCACTCTGACAAAGATCTTTTCCATTTTGGGGGTGGAGGAGGTAGGACTGGGTCTGGAGTTATTTCGTCGACATATGCGCGGCTGATATCCCGATTTTTCGTCTTGCCTACATTACAAAATGGTTAAGGACAGCTCAAAAACTGATAATATCATATGAAAAATCAATAGGTCCGCTGACACTTTTCCTGTATGAAAACATTTTAATGAATCTGCCCCAAAAAACACGACACGATAAGTAAGCTAAAGCAGATCATTCCTAGTTGTTTCACAATGATGTTGTTAGTAAAGAAATTAAACAAAAGGTTGCTAAGTGGTTATACAAAAAGATTTCTTTCATCATTAGAGCCTTAACCCACCAGAGAATGCTTCAGCTGTGTTTAGTATTTCATCTTCCAACAATATTCCTATTAAATAGGATGAAAAAGGTGAAAATAAGCTCAAATAATCCTTTAAGACGGTATAATACTACTATAATGATCAGGGTACAGAGAGTCCTCGCAACGGGGAGGATAAGTGTATATGTGGATAAAGATGGGTCATTTTGAATCTGTCAACAAGCTGTTAATGTCCTTCTGTTTCAAGTCGGCCCTCAAATTTTTTTGACCTTGCAAGTAACATATCTTATGGTGTTGGTACCTGCTAACGATTGTCAACCAAGGCCTGATACGGTATCAGTTGTTGAAAATATTTAGTCCTTTTTACACTTGGCAGCGTCCCAACCAATTTGTGGTTTGCTCACGAAAAAAAAATACACCAATTACAATAAAAATAGAAACACTTCATTACTAAGACTGTAGACCACTTGCTTATTTACCTTGTTTCCCATGAGCCTTAACTTTATAATCTGCACTTTCATGGAACCTTACCTAAAATCAAAACGTCAATCATCGTAATATTGTAAAAAGCCTGAGATGAATAGAGTTCCTATCGACAAACGTGAACGACTGCATTCTCCGTTTCTTTTCTTTTTAAATACTTGAGTAAAATCAGTGCGAGAAATTTCAAAGAAGCCACCAGAAAAGTAACCACAACAGTTGAGATATTCTCTCACTTTATCTTCCAGTTCCTCGGCAACCAGCTTCTCACTCTCATTTCTTGGGTCTCTTGGCAGTAAGTAGTCCAATCCTGTTTGTCTCTTTTCCAGGTAATCGCTATAAGCTTGTATGGCCTTCACCATCTGCTGTCTTTGGTCCAGAGTCAACGGCTTATACTGAATAAGTTGACGGAACTCTAGAACCCGTGGACAATTGACATTAGGAAGGAGAGTCGGTTTCACACGGGAGCCAACGCTAAGGCCGCTACCTAAGGGTATTAAAAGACAAACGTATCCAATTCGGTGGAACATCTGGTATCAGAGGAAAATATGATCAGAAAAACCGAACGAAACTCCCAAAAAAAACGCCTTCAGACAGAGTTCCTACCAGCATTAGTGCCAAATACAGGTCCTGGCTTTTCAACTTCTCTCGAAGACATCATTTTGAAGTCCCTCTCTCTAAGCCCTGGTGGAATGATGAGCCCCTCATCTTTTTCTTTCAACCAGATCTTCCCAGTTCCACCTGCATTTCAATCGAAACACTGCTTGGAGGACATGCAGACTGTGAACTCGTCGAGTGTTGGGTTAGGGTTAGGGTTAGGGTTAGGGTTAGGGTTAGAGTTAGGGTTAGATAAATGAGCTTAAGTCACCTACAGTATTAATTACTGCTGTTGTTCCATTAGATATTGATTGTTACTGCCGTTATGATATTACATATTGATTAATGACACACAATAGTTGTTATTGGAATTTTTTCAACATAACTATGGCTTTCACACTTTACTGACAGAGCGATGATTCCCTTGTTCCTTTTCTAGGCTTTAACAATATTCTGCTATACCAGTTTGTTGGTTTTTAATACCAGTAGTATAATAAATCATGCTGAATCAACTAGGTAGTCGCTTACCGGAATAAGGCTTCACGATAGTGATCCCCGTTACGTCGGCATGTCCTTCCAAGGGGCTCCTTAAAACAGCTGTTAATGGGTCATCCTCGGCTTGTTTCAAGAATTCCTGCACGTCAACACTGCGCAAAAGCTCAGAGCCTGACCCATCGGCATGGATTACAAAAAAACGAGGTACTATGGGACTTACAGGTGCTCTCTCTAAGGGCCCTGGTTCTAAACGCTCCTTCTTCTCATTTGACGCATAATCTGGCTTCGCAACCATATCTTGGTATGTGGATTCAGTTTCCTCCTTGTCAACTGTAATGCGACCGTTTGACAAGACAGTAAAGTGTGTCCCTCTCTCATCCGTCATTTCAAAACAGAGTTGATTGGCAGTGCGCATGACATAAACCCCCGTCGGTGCCTTGGCGTTCCCGTAATCTTTGTTTAAATTTTGCGTGTCACGGCCATAGTAGGACACAATACCTGAAAAAGGTGCATACGACCCGACAATTTACCCTAAAGTGTCAGGAACACATTCTAAATCCAGTCTTTGTCTTCTAATGTAAATATTGGTGAAAGACCAACAGTAGTATCTTCAGAATTGTCATGGTCATCCGCTTGGCGTAATTTCCACATTTTTTATTCGTCCTTATTCTAAAAAAAACAGTGATAAAATTCGTATCCCGGCGCTACTACTTAAGATACTCTTAGAGTCTCACCTTTTGCTTCTATGTGCAACTGACTCCCATCAGGTCTGTACATAATACACACGCCATCTGCTTGTGTATCAACTTTTGTGCCATTCCCAAATATAGTTTCGCACGAACCCAGATCACGATCAAAAACTAGGGTAGGGAATCCTATGCATTCTACCTTCACGAACATTTTGGTGACGTCAGAGTAGACACCCTGTTCTCCCGCCTCATTGTCAGGGACGTGAATATCTTGTTCAACCTTTTTATAGAATGTCGTCAAACGTGTTCCGTCCGCGTGTTCCACAATTCGTGTCCCATCCAGACGCTCAATTATGACAACATTATCCTCGCGCGTTTTCAGTACCTAAAAAATACAATTTCATTCAAAGAAATGCGTGTTTTGTTTCACCGTTTACTCTAAAGTTCGCGCTAAGGAATGGATCCTACCCCACAAGCACTTGACAGGCACATGGCGGCTATAGAGAAGTTGAATAAATCGTAATGTAAAAAACGTCAGGTAATGATCAACAGGGACTGGTTCTTTGGATTACTTAATAAACATATAAACAAATTCACAATAATTGTTTCATCAAAAAACGACATATCGAAAGATAAAAAAATTTAGGAAATGAGATTTGGTGTATGGACACAACTAAAACTACTTAATAACACCGGTTTACTTTCATTCCTCACCAGCCCCCAACCCCTCTCGATCATTTGTACTAACCTGTCCGCTTTGAGGACACGTGGCTGTGGAACAGTGCAGTCCATTAACAGTCTTATAGCCTCCTTCAGGCAGACTCAGCACTTTACTCCCATCCACACCTGTACTAGACCATACAGGTACTTTATCAGGGAGCGAGATCGCTGGCACCAAAGGCTCCTCCAATGGTTTTGGATTTGTTCCTGGCCCACGAACGCTTCTCTTAGCTGCTGTAATCGATGGGTCCTGTCTGGCTACAGCACTGCCTGGCTTGCTACTAAAAGGGGCCTTTTTCATAGGGTAAGATTCACATTTGCTTATTGCACCATCCGGAAATAGCACTTGAACGCTCCCATCGGTAAGTAGCTGCATATATAATCAAACGAAAGAGTCAGTGGACGGTCCGAGAAAGAGTATTTTTATAATGTTAGTACAAGACCATTAAACTGAACTTATTCAAATTACAAAGCTAAATTTAAGGTTCTTAATATATATGTGATTTGTCGAGCCGATTATCTGAACAAAGTTGAACCCTCTCCAAATCGCTCTTCTCATGTTAACTCGAATATCAACCGAATAAAATTTGAAAATGATATCAACACAAAAAAAACGAGGAAGATTGTGAAGAAACAAACTCAGACTCACTCTAATAACTGTACCATCAGTCATAATGGTGCGAGAGATTTCTTCTGATGCTGGTTTTTCTTTGACAGACCCAAGAGGCCTGATGGGATAGCTCTGTCTCACAACCACTCCACCCTTACTACTTGAACTCTTATAACAGTCATCGTTTAAGTACTGTACATGCTGACCGTCAGGACATGTGATAAACACGTGTTGAAATGGTTTTCTTAGCTTCTCTTCCTCCGCCTTTCGTCGCGCTGAAACAATAAATAAAAATCTGAATTAGCTGACTAGAGTTATTTTACAGTATTTAACTTCGTATGGAGAATTGTCTACCTTCTTCCTCCAATCGGAGTCTTTCCTCTTCCTGCTGCTGTTGTATTTCTTCCATTCTTTTAGCCTCTTCTTCTGCTCTCTTCCGCGCTTTTGGAGATCCTGCTTTGGGTTGTGGACTAGGCGTAGGCTGGGGGGGCATAACTGTATCTGCCTTTAAATATCCTGTCACTGTTTCTTCTGATTCCTTTGACTCTTTCTCTTTAAAGGAACCTGACGGGCCATAACTACTGAGTGCTAAAACCATACCGTCACTGAGCTCGGCCACAAAGGAGCTGAAATCACAAAACGGTTTTGGACCCTTTGGGATTTTTTGTTGTTCTTTCTCAGAAGCTTCAATTTCGCTTTTTTCCAGCTCATCGTTCTTATATTCTTCTTTCTCATTCTTATCTATCCGCAAATCATCCTTTTCTTCTAAACCCTCCAGCTCTTCTTTTGTCAGAATCTCATCGATAGGTTCCAAGAAATGAAGCACAAACATATTACCATCTTTAAACACAGACGTGGAAACTTTTCTGGCTCCCTGGACATACTGGCTCTTGTTAACCTGTATTTGACCACCGTCAGCCGGGAAAACTGTCATTAAAGACCCGGACACGTGAATCAAATTATCTCCTGTGTCATAACCAATGAAACTATAAGATTTCTCGACAGGTTCATCCACGGGTTGTATCTCAGGCTCCTCCAAATCCCCTGAGCGTGACCGGCTTTGGAGCCCTCTTTTGCTTGTGGCGCTTTTGATAGAACGAGAGCCTTTTGCGGAAGGACTTCGACCCGTCGCCGATTTCTGCCGACTAGACGCTGACCCATCTCTCTTCTTATCTGCGAGTAAACCCAGACGCAAACAAGCAGTTATAAAATGTAACGCTTAGAACAACAACACTCGAATATCCCTTGGTTTATAAACTGGAAAAAAACTGGCTTTCTTCTTTCGGAGTCAATGCTGCACGCACCTCGGTGAGCTGCGGTTACATTAAAGAGTGTATTTTGTTTTAACACTACACCTTTAAGAACTGCCCCACTGGCTGTTTGTTTTTATCTTTGCTTTATACTCACAGTTTAAGTCTAATTCATCTTAGCAACCAAACAAAACTACTTGCAGCTTGGAGTGAATAGAAGTGTTTGTATAAAACAGTTATAAAATGTTCGTAAGACGGTTAACCTTTGTCGTCCTTCTTCTCGGGCGAAGCACTCTTCTCGCGAGTCTTTGCACTTCTCTTTGGACTTCGGGACCCCCGCGCGCTCTTTTTTCCTTTCTTTTTGTTTTTCTCCTCTTCTTCTGCCTTTATGAGAGCCACTTCCTGTCGGGTCATTAGACCATACCGACTGCCAATCTTCAGGGGAACGCTCGGTTGTTCTGGAGCCGGTGGGGGAGGAGTAGGTGTTCTGGCTGCTTCTTCTCGAATTCTTTCCTGTTGTGTTGTTTACGGAATATTTTTTTTATTACGGTTCATTAAAAAATAAAACCAAGAACATCTCTACAACATTTTTTTTTTCCCCTTTTCTAATTTTTTTGACGCATTGAACATTTTTTTTCTTGAAGGATTCCTCAATTCAGAGACATGTGGGATATTGATCTTTCTTTATTCACTCCGAGCTTTCGCCGTTCTACGGCATCATCAGGGATGAATTAGCTTTTAAGTTATGGAAACAAAGATCATGTCTCGGGTAACTCACAATAACACCATGTAAAGCAATAACACAGTCACTTCTGTCAACGGTTTTTGCCTTGAATTTGACCAAAATGCCAAACACTAGCTTGTGAGCATAGGCACTGTGCAGAATATGATGTCTACAAACTTTGCCTCACATTACCATACCATGAAAACAAAAATATTTTATTTAGTTATCGTATATTTACCTGTTCTTGAATCCAGTCCCCAATAGAACTGACCACATGTTCGAGGTAGTTTTTGAAGCCCACATTAGAGTGGAGCTTAGTGCTCCAGGATAACTTGCTTCTACTGTCACAGCTGGCTCCCACGGGATTGTGTAACGCAAGTAATAGTGTGTGGTCACGCTTGTGATAGTAAGTGTCCATGTATGGATAAGCAAGGCGTGCAGCTTCCAACACCTGAGATACAAGAGGTAACAGGTGTAAATTCTCACACACACACAACCACAGTACCAATGGGGTTTAGTCTGTAGTGAAAAGGACTCCTTGAGGTATTGTAAGAATCATCATTATAACTACCGCTCATATTTATTGAAATATGAGTGGTAGTTGTTACTTGTCCTATTTTACGTTTTTATTTCTGCATTTTTGTTAAAACTGAGCTTCTACACTTAGATAACAACAAAATTTCGACCACTCTACTTTTCCATCATCATGCTTACAAACCATGATCCTTGCTCTACAATAATCACATAACAGCCTATGAACAAAGAAATGAGCTTAAGAGAAGCTAAGGTTTACATTGTAAAGCTAAAATAGCAGAATTACATAGCAGCCTGTGAACAAAGAAATGAGCTTAGGAGAAGCCAAGGTTTACAGTGTAAAGCTACCCTAGCAGAATTACATAACAGCCTGTGAACAAAGAAATGAGCCTAAGAGAAGCCAAGGTTTACAGCGTAAAGCTACCCTAATATTATTGAACACAACTTAAACAAGAATTATATAGTATTGATCATATCCAACACTAACCTGTATCATGGTTTTTGGATCAAAATGTTCCACAAAACACCACTCGTCAAGATTACGAAAAGATGTCAGTAGGAAAGAATCGTTGGCAAGTTTCTTTATCTCTAAGTCCTCATTAGGGAATCTTAAGGCTTGGAACTCACTAAGCTTGCTGTAAGGGTGGTCCCACAGGTTTGAATAAAACTTGAATGATTCATCTACCTCCTCAAGATCCACAACATCTCCATTGTGATCTGCAACCTTCAAGAGCATTCCTTCAAAAGCAAATTGCTTCAGTATGTGCTCCAGAGAGTCAGAGGAACTCATCCTGGACTTACAAAAATGATACAGCTCACTAGCTCTTGCTTCACGCTCCACAAGGTCTTGACCATCTAGTTGTGGCAGTTCTTTGAGGCAGGTTTGAGGAAAGAGATCAAGTATGCACTTTTCTGCTTCTTGTGGGTCAAGACCATTGGCTGGCACAAGATCATGTAGGCGGGATGTCATTCCATCACCATACTGAAGGATTACCGGGGATTCATGAAGTTTTTGAGGTCTGGTAGTGTCTATAGGCTCAGTAATAGCCTAGAGTATTAAAGAAACAAACTGGGTCTATCAAAGTCCAGATAATATAATATATATATATATATATATATATATATATATATATATATATATATATATATAAAGAGGACTCTCTGTGACTCTGAGTTTTGCACCTAAGCGCTCGTCAGACAGAACTTAGCCGAGACGAGACTTAGACAAGCGCTTAGGCATGAAACTCAGAGTCACAAAGAATCGATGCGTCATCTTTAATTCTTTAACTTATATATACTTAGCTCTGCTACCACAGCATTGAGCACTTTATGCCAAGGTAGACTCTACCCCCACATTCATTCATTTATATATATATACATACACACATACATACATACATGCATGCATATACAAATATATATATATATATATACACATACAAATACACAGTTTCTAGCAATAAAAGTTTTGTGTTTTGTATCTACAAATAACCCCAAGCAGGATATGCAGGAAGACACCTGAACTGTGTGTTTGAAAATACAAAGAGGACAATTTAAAGATTCAGAACATCACATTCATGAACTAAACCAACAAACAAGTAGCTGGGCCTTTGAGAAATGCATGATTGATTACTTAGTGTTGTAAGGTGATAGCCAACTAAAATTATGTTTTGGTAGGGGCATTTTGTCAGTGTATTGACTAAAAGAAACTTTTTTACTGGTGTAGCACAAAATAAAGGTTTTGATGCTAGCAAATAGTACCATTTTGTGTTTTTTGTTGAACATCTGATTTATCTGGCTAATACTGAGCTCTGAAGGCAGTTTCAATTACACATTAGACAATAACATTTCACAACATGCAGGCAAAAGGCTTAAAACTTCAAACACCTTACCTGTTTGCCATCATTTGGCAGTGCTAATTTAGATGTTTTACAAGAAATATATGCCGCCAGGTCGTGGCTGAGACCATCTTGTCTTGGTGGAACAACCTGATCCAGTGGATTTGTTTCATCAACTGTTGCAACAACCTGATTAGATACATGTACATATAACACCCTGACATTGATGATGTTCTTTATAACAAATAATCTAATAAACAACATATCCTCAGACATTATCATGAAATATTTTTCATTTGGAGAGGAGCCAATGTGAATCTCATTTTTTTTATGATTCATCTGTATCAATAGACATGATACCCCTACTGAAAATGTCAGTTCAATGACCAACAGAGAAAATTGCAACACAAACAATTTTTTAGATTGGTATTTATATTTTGTTGTTGATTCAGGGAACAAATTGTTTTTGGCTTGCATTAATTTTGGAAGAAGGAAATTCATAAACTATTTACTCACTCACTTACTTATTAATAGTATCACATTCTTTTCACCATTTCATTTTTATGTAATACTAGTGAGAAAACCAATCATATCTGGATATTGCACAGGATTTTTGTAAATCAATTGCCCATTTTATTTCAACTGGCATGCTCTTAGCATGTAATTCTCTCATCCCAATTTAATTATTTTTTCTGTTTCTGCCAGTAAATGACCAGCACAGTCCACTGAACAGGCATCATGAATTTGTTTAGCTATGACACTTTGCCAGCAGTAATGCTGCACAACTTTCTACAAGTGTTTGCAAACTTATCCCTTTAACTACCTTGAGTGACCAAGACAGAATTTCTCCTTATAATATCAAAACAATATCAAGCAGACAAGTGATCAGAACAAAGAAAAATATCAATTAGGGGATTATAAGTTGATCCAATACCAAATTCTCCAAACTAACATGACAAGAACTTATGGCAGACAGTGAGGAGAATTAGGAATGAGATATTGGGAGTTAAAGGGTTATTACAGCTAGAGGTAGAGATTAGAATTAATTGCCAACTGTTCAATGAATCCCATTGCACAAAGTTATGCATTTGTATGGATGAATACTCAATATCAATTATATTGTGCACATGCATGGAGTTTGGCTCAGCAGCTCTTCATATAGTTCTCAGCAAGTGTAATTGCTACAGTAAATCTAACCCTAACCTGCTCCAACAAGCAGTGAAGAATAAGAGGAACACTGTGGCTCTCAGGTGGTACACTGCTAATCAGGTGATCATAGTAGCGTTTGTCGGCATCTGCTATCACAACTGAGGCACTGCCACCATCTAAAACAAAAACACACAAATAGTAACAGAATCTTAAAAAGGGAAAACAATGTGACAGCCACATGAAAAAATTAAGGCCCCTTTTGATGAAAAAAGAAATCTTGGAGCTTTTCAATTTCACAGATTTTTGACCACGTTCTTTAAACACATTCAGTCAATTTTCTTCACCAGAAATGTAAGGTATCTTCCACTCTGATGGAATTAAAAATGAGAGAGACGTTATTGTAATTTAGTCAAAAAATCCATCCAGTTCAGGCCCTACTCTACTAAACAGAGGTTTTGTGATGATAAGAAAGGATTTTGTCACAAAGAAAACTCAAAATTCATTCCTTTTTTTTGTTAAGGTAGTAAGGAACCCTTTCATGAGATACATAAAAGCTTTTACAAGAAGTTGGCAAGAATCTACCCTTCCTAAGCCAATAAATGAAAAACTTTAATGAAACAATTTCTCAAGTACACAAAAGGCAATTTAATTTTTATGTAATAAAGGCTTAAAAACTCTACAGCATCAAATAGTTAACAAGCTAAGATACAGTTTTTCCACGCTATCAAAATGTAAAGAAAACCATTAAACAGAAAATTTGAAAGAAGTCCTTACCCTGATTAGCTGTAGTAGATTGTGACCCTAGGGGGTCAGCAGCAGGTGGAATGACTAAAGCACTTGCTGAAGCTTTCAAATGTACAGGAACATGAATCAACTTCATCAAGTTAAGGTAATGTTTGTACTGCTCCCAATGATCCAACATGTTGTAGCACACATCAGCTACACCCTCAAATATTGCTGTTCCAAATTCAACCTGATGTGAAGATTTTCAAACAATAAATCTCTGTTGAACTATGTTGTAATGTACTGGTAATACTTCTATCAGTTCCAGAACAATTACTTTACTGTGTAATTTAAACACAAATTATGAATTAAGAAAAACAATATATATTACATTGAGTCAACAGTGCAACTCAACTTAAACAAAATTTTTTCCAAAAGATACAATTTAAACAAGAAAAGACAAACAATTTAAAATAATTGCTTTTAAATAAGAAAAAGATACACAGTGAATCAAAAGAAAAAACTTATTCTCACATTTATTCCACAATATTAATTAATTCAACAGTCTACAATCAATTGCCTTTTTCTCTGCCTCTAATTCCTGAAGATTCCTTTTTGGCATGATGCTGTCTTTAATTCTAACTTCATATTTGGCTACGTCTTTGAGCTTGTGACCAGAGGCAGCTTTCTTTACGATATTTTGTGATTCAGCCCAAAATGCTTTGATCAAAGCTTCTTGTTCCAGCCTTTGAGCAACCTCCTCTGACATGACTAATTCCCTCTCCAACAACTCCACATCATCTTCCTAAAATTTACCAGAGAGTTCTGCATTAAAGTTACCCTAACAGTATGTTTCAGGTTTGAAACAATTTTGATTTAGATTTAAAAATTAGAGCCCAATTACAATCCTTTACAGAGTTGCTGAAAAACTTCCCCCTTTCCTACTTGTCAAGGTTATTAAGGAGAAAATTGGGCTGTAGATAAAAGAAAAAAATATTTAACAATGAGAGGGGAGCATAATGTTGCAACAAAACTTGACAAAGGGCGTAGGTTAAATTAACAGAGCTAGCACAAAGGGGAATACTGAGAAGGAAAGTCAAAGCTACTTACAATTAGCAAGCAGATTCACAATTTGATTTTTTTTTTTAAAAAAATTTATATTAAAAGGAATACATGAATATATGAAATAATACTTGAAATGTGGGTAATATCTAAATATGGCTCAAACAATACAGTTCACAGCATTTTAAATCTGATTTTTAAAATAACCCTCATAGCAACAAATATCAATGCATATTTGGCAAACTTAAAATAATAAATGAAGGATTGCTTTAACATTGTAGAATTTCCTAATTCTTTAATCAAATGAAAGACCTTAAGAGCTTGCCTACTAATGCAAAGTGGTCTAGGTAAATATTTACTGTTCAGTTGTTAACTCACCTTGGCAGCTGTGTTCTCATCCTTTTGGTGTGTGGTGGGTGTGAGACTATCATAATTCTCTGCTTTGAGGCAGATGAGTGCATCAACATTGACACCTACTTCAATCAAATTGGAAATAACTGAAGCTGTGAGGATACCTTGGATTAATACATAGTGATGAGGGCTTCCCTCATCATCAGGCTCATCATCTACAAGAAAATTAACAGAAACACTACTGTTGACAATGTATTTCTTTATGCATAATAAAGCATAAAGTTTCACTATCTTTTAATACCACCTTGTCATTATAAGGTTAACTTCATGCATCTGAGGACAAAAGTGCTATTCTTAATGAGAGAAACCAATGAAAACAACAGGGTGTTACATGCTTTAAGGGTGTTATTCAAAAACCATGTTTATTTCTTCACTCCTTTAATTATACTTTATTCATATTTCTTAAAACTAATTAGTGCATTAATAATATATAGATTTAGCCAAGCCTAAAAGCGGAGCTTGCACTTTTTTTTTCCCAAACAACTTGTCCCGGCCAGGACTAGAACCCGGGTTGTCCGACTCGGAGCCCAGTGCACTGACCACTGGACTACTGAACAAAGCCGTGGCATTGGCATGCCCGTGGTACAGTTGACCACGCATGTCAAAAGTAGCACCTTGTACGGTCGTACATCCAAATTTTTTCAGCTTGATGGGTTACTACTATTTTGTATAATTATGGGGCTACGCTCTGCGAGCTCTGCTATAAATGTGTAGCTTACCAATAGTCTTAAATGTATCTTCCACATCTCCTCTCCTCTTCAGTTTTGTATCCTTTTTCGGTGATGGAGGTATGTCTGCCTCTTTTTTACCCTTCTTTTTTCCTGGTGATTTTGATCGTTTGCCAGCAGAAGGGCTTCTTCCAGACTTCTTTCCTTTTTCGTCCTTCTTGGCAGCTTCAGCAGCCTTTGCAGCCTTAAATTGTAAGAGCAAAAAAAGTAAAGGTGGAGAGTTGTCACTATCATAGCCAAAGAATTGGTGCTCTTTGGGGTTCTAGTATCAATATGCAGAGAGAATGAGGTACCTTTTTTTCCTCCTCTCTCCTCTCCAAGTCTTTCTGCTTGATTTGTAACAACTTGAACTTGAGGAGTTTAGCCATCAGTGTAGGAGGTATAACTTCACCTTGATCAACCAATGGTTTCACTTGCTCACATACTTCATGGAACTGAGGTGGTTTAGCTGAAGCTGCACCCTTTCCCTTACCTCCTGTAACAGGCCCTTTTCCAAATTCTTTTACCTTAGTAAACAACACGAGACATAATGTCAGGTGATTTAGTGTTAACAACTGAGTTGAAAACGTAAATTGGCCAACGTAAAGAGTTTAAAGGCTTTAAACTCTTAACGGTAGCCAATTTACGTTTTCAACTCAGTTGTAAATAACACTAAATTACCTGTTATACTCTCCCACCGACGCAGCACCACAGTTTCTTTCGAAACTTATAATTACCCCCTTTTTTCATAATGTAAGGTGGACTATCATATCTGCCCATCAACAGAATCATTACGAGTCAAACCAGTGAGGCTTGTAGTCCATAACAAATCTAAACTTCTAGGTGGAGTTGTCTATACTAAACATGAAAATCAACTTACGTCCTTTATAAGACCTTCATATGTTATTATGCTGAACAACTTCCTCACTCCTGTCGCGACAACTTCGGACATAGTTTCAATGAAGACATTATCATCAGCCTTATTTGGTACAACAAAGAACACACAAGAACTCCAAGTTTCCTGAAGCAAAATTAAACGATAGACTCGTTATAAAGGAAAAAACAAATAAATTCTTGAAAGCGTTGTCAATAGTAGGGAAAGACGGAGATGACTACAAAAGCCAAGAGATTGCTATGATAATCCAAATTAAACTTTGCTGTACTTAAATTGTTTTCACCTCAGTGAAAGGTGCTTGAATCAGTTCTGTTTCCCATCTACTTAGTTCGTTAGCCGATGCACTTTTTCCTCTACGCGACTTCGACATATTCTTTACATTAATTTTTGGGAAAGAAACGACGTTCTCGGCTGCAGAAGTAAATACTTGGATTAGGATCGCATAACCTCACCCGCCATTTTGTAGTTTGTTGTGGTTGCTAAGCAAGTGGGTGATAGTTAGGTTCCATGCCTTCCCGGTCATCATTATGGTAACCCAAGCCTTACTCGGCTCCCACATGGTTAAAGAGTAAGTTTCCAAAGGTTAAATCATGAAAGTCTTGAAACGCGACCGAGTTGTGTTACACAGGCCTCCTTTCACTGCCGAGGAAGGAGGAGAGAGGACCCTGAGAACGACGAAGTTGAGCACTCACTTCACAGGATACCACTGACATTATCGCATGCGGCCAAGCACGACTAATTTCTTTCTTGACATTGGTTTCATTAGGACACTAAGCGGCAGCGCAAAGGAACTTTTGAACCTTCCACAATCCACTGGGTTTCAATTTCGTATTTTCACTGGTCATAAAAATTAAAAATTTAAAGAAAGCGACAAAACTTTTGAGTCTGTAAAACATGTTTCAGTTAATTATTGTACAAAGCGTTGGAAGTTGAGTTATATAGTAGGTAGAACAATGCTAATTATGATAAATAGTGACTATAAGAAAAGAGGTAAAGCATGAAAGTGTGAGAATTAAAAGAATAGTTTGGATTTACATGGTGTAATTGTTGCTTCCAGGATGGTTGTTCTCTTTGAATATGAATAGCCTCTTTTATCTTAAGTTGAAAGCTGGTGAAGGCGTGATCTAAAACATGGAAGTCATCTGCTGAACACAAAGCGCGACAATGTGGAGAATCTTTCAGATGATTGAAAATGTAAGAGGCCCTGTCACTGACTAAGTGCTCTCTAACACGTATGGAAAAATGCCGGCAGGTTTCACCGACGTAACAGGCATTACAGCCAGCACATAAAAACTTATAAACCACACGTGAACGGAGCCCATCAGGGACAGGGTCTTTCACACCAAACGGGTTACCGATTTTGAAGGAAGAGAAAACCAGTTTAATATCTAAGTCATTGCAATAGCACTTAATAAAATGGCGGATCTTTTTTTGAGTGATAGCAGAAAAGTGGCCAATATAGAGCCTAAAGTAAAACGTAGGTGAAGCGGTGGGAAGGGAACCCCGGGGATGATGATTGCTTTGGGTCCCAGTGATGTAACGGTTTATAATCTTCTCAATTAAATGAGCAGGGAAAAGATTCTTTTTTAGAATATCAGTAAGTTTGTTAATGTCCTCGTAAAACCCTAACCAGGTGTTATTAATCTTGTAAGCCCTATCAACGTGTGTCTTAATGAGACCCACTTTGTGAGAGTACGAGGTGAAGCTGAAATAATTAGTTGGTAACCCAGTGAAAATTTTCTTGCGGTAAACCCTGGTTAGAGAGGAATTTGGGGTCATGGTTGTCAATCAGGACATCTAAAAAGAGTAATTTATGATTAATCTGCTTTTCCATAATGAACTTGATGTTAGGGTGCCTAGAGTTGATACAGTCGAAAAATATAGTGGCACCACGATCTGAGTTAAATAAGCAAAAGGTATCATCAACATACCGGCGATAAAATAAAATTGTAGAGCCTTGAAAATTTTTCAACCAAAGTTTTTCGGGATGTCCCATAAAAAGATTAGCTAAGACGGGAGCAAGGGGAGACCCCATGGTTACGCCATCTATTTGATCATAAAAAGAACCATTAAATATGAAGTGAGTCTGGGCGGTAACTGTAGTGAAGAGGCTTCTAAGTTCAGATTTGTTTAACTTAATGTCGGGATTACCCTCGGAAATGTAATTGACCGCTAAGTCAACATACTCCTCAAGAGGTATGTTAGTAAAGAAAAATTAAAAACGCATAATCCCGTATCACACACTAACCCCTTCCCCACCTCCACCTCTTCTAAAATTTCCCTCTCTCTCAACTTTTGGCTTCGTAACTCAGTTGTTACTAATGCTGTCACAGCGGGATACTCAAAACCCAAGGATCCTCGAAACCCTGTGAGAGGCCGAGCCGGCGAGAGGTCTACAAAAAATTCGGCAGTCACTATCGGTACATGACCACTTACAAAACTCTCGCAGGCAAGCGGTGCTCAAGACCTCAAACTTATTTGCGGGGGAAGAAACGCTTTTAGTGTCGAGCTTATAAAACAGGGCCTTGGGCTTCACGTCCTTATTTCTTTTGAAGCCTGAAAACGCTCCTATGATGCTCTCACATTCACAAGCATATAGTGAATTGTTTCACTAAATCAATGAGGAAGTGATCAGGAAATGTAACTTTTTCTATAATGTTTTGTGTCTAGCTGGTTTTCACATGCTGTGCGACTTTATCTGATGCCGCGACCAAGAAGCGCAACTCTTACGAAGTTTGGCTCAACGAAAGCAATAAAAACGATATTTTTTGACGAGACTACAAATTACCACGGTGAGATTTTAGCTCCGTCAAAAGGTTTTCCCAGGACAGCTACCCTAAAGCGACAGAATGGGAGACTTGAAATCCTGACCGAAGCGTGCATAGAATTTGATTTTGAAAACAAAACTTAAATGTTGAAAATAAAACTTGAATTACTTGATACAACAAGCATAATTCATCCATCCTTCACCAAAATTTTGAGTTGAAAATGTTGGTGGAAAAATGTCATGAAAAATTGTTTTGATGATAAGATGTGTGGCCCCAACGGTACTACCCGGTGCTTTCATAAATCAACTCCACCCTAGCCTACGTGTAGCCGTACCCTTCCCCCGCCAAGGTGAAACGAAAGCGAGGCAACCCGCATCCCTCGCTTCCGTTTCACCATCGGGGGAGGGTACGGCTACACGTAGGCTAACTCCACCCAAACCCTCACACATATTGTTACAGAGAGAGAGAGAGAGAGAGAGAGAGAGAGAGAGAGAGAGAGAGAGAGCTGGAGGAAAGGGCACATTTCTATCTTTTTTCAGGCACTTTTGTAACACAAGAGGGCACTTCTGTAACGTGACAGGCACTTTTGTAACTGTGCAGGGCATTTTGGTAACTTTTAGGGCACTTTTGTAACTATGGAAATTTATAAATATTTTTTAATTCCTGAACTACTTAAACCCTTAAAAAATTTGTTAACGCAACCACTTCAGTTGCTTTTTAGAAAATGGAACTTTTAAACTGGACGACGTCCGAGTCGATAGAGTTAGGGGATCAGAAGGGTAGTACTTCGAACGTTCTACGTGGACAGGAAACGTTCTTTCACCAAAAAAAATAGATCGTTTTGTTAAGGGTTGAGGATTGCGGCAGACAATCGTTCTGATAACAAATAGTAATTATTCAGGATTTGGAAAGATTTATGCTCAAAAAAGTGTTGATACGGTATCTGATTCTCAAAACATTGAAAGTACCGTAATTTATTTCGTACATACTGAGCGAACGACTGAAAATACATCGTTCGTCCAATCGTAGACATGAACGATAGTACTTCACAGTGGAGGGCAACAAGCGTGTTGCTTTCAGTAAGAAAAAATCTCAGTACGTATGAAATAAATACATTACACCATGGAAAATGCTTGAACGATTTTTATTCACTCGTTGCTTTGCATAAAAAAAACTCGCTCGTTCGTTTTTTGATGCACAGCAACTCGTTAATAAAAATCGTTCGATTCCCATTGTATCCCTCAGCGGTGCGTTCTCCTTTCCTTCATTGCTTTATGAGTACGTTTTGACAACTACCCGTCGTGCACACGTCACCAAAGTGCACCGACACTAGGAAAATAAAGCAAGGACGCGGAGAATGGGTCAGAGTTACAACAGATTGCAGAACAAGTAATCCTTTGCCACCTCTGTCCTCCATATGTGAGGGGTACTTTGTACTTTGTAAGTTATAACTGCGCTTTGTAGTTAACGTTTGATTCTTTTGTTAGTTCTAATGCGCTCCGTTGTTTACGTTTGATTGTTTTGTTAGGTCTAACTGCGCTCTGTAGTTTACATTTGATTGTTTTGTTAGTTTTAAGCGTGCTTTGTCGTTAGCGTTTAATTCTTCTGTTAGTTCAAAGCGCGTTCTGTTGGTTATTGTTTGTTTTGTTAGGTCTAAGCGCGCTCTGTAGTTTATGCTTGATTGTTTTGTTAGGTCTAAGCGTGCTCTGTAGTT